GGCTTTTCAAGGGCCAAAACGGTGCAACCCTAAAGCATGCGGCATGATGCCTAAGCACTAGAGAGCAACACCTAAACGCCGTGATTGAATTCTGAGTGGCACTTAGTGTTCGCGAAATATTTCTTTCGATTTAAATTACCGCAAGTGTACGGATCGTGACAAGTAATAAAGTGGACTTTAAAAGTCCGAGTATCATCCCACAGAGAAAGAGTAGTTCAATTTTATTTATTTTAGCCTTAACCGAAACTAATTGAATTAAGATGAATTTTAGAATCAAAAGCTCTAATTTTGGGAGAAATCCCCAAATTGAAAAACCCTAATTTCAAATCAACTTAATGAATGACTCAATTACGAAATCTTATGAAAATAAATGAAATGTATTGTCAATTTACGAAAATCTATGTAAAACAAATGCACTAGGATCACGAATCCCCAAATAATTACTAATTAAACCCTAATTTCACAATTTTGATAATCCAATAAGAATTTGACAAATCAATGCTCCTAAATCTATTCAATACTCTCTCTCGAGATGTATTGAACCTATTCTCATAAATCACCAGCCTATATCTCTATAACGGATGCAATTATACAAGAACGCATATAATCTTTTTGTGAGCAATTAAAGATTTACATAGGGTATAGTGGTATATTTCTATCCCCTATCGGACCCTATGATGAATTATATATGTCGAGTTTAATCCAATTTTCTCAAATTCAGAATTAAACCACCAAGTTCACACAAATTAAGTGCACGTTAATTGTGGAAATAAATAAAGCAATATAATCCATTCAAATATTCCATCGAACTATGAATTCAAAATCATGAAATAACAAGTTTAATAATAATTACATGGTTCATCATCACCTAGTTGTAGAAATCTAGCCTATAAAATAACGAAATCTAACAAGTTTTGAATAAAATACATCACCGGGTTATCAAAACTTGAAGAAATCTTGTAAATCTTCGCATCAATTCTTGTTCTTGCCTTCAAATCCTCTCCAAGATGAATGTTTTTGCCTCCCAATTCGTTCCTGCGGCTTCTGGATGTTTATTTGCTATTTAAACCCATCGAAATTAGGTTACCAAAGGAGTTACAATCATATAAGGAAACTGCAAAAATCGGGGACAAGTTATACCTATGCGACCGCATAGGTATATGAAAAATGGCGTTTTTAATCCCTGGAGGGTCATCCGCGACCGCATAGGTTTTATACTATGCGACCGCATAGTAGAGCGAACTTCTAATTTGAGTCATTTTGATCCTCAAGTTTCATTCCTTCACTCCTTGACCTCCTCTCTTGTTTCTAGTTGCTCCAATGTTCCATTATAACTTCCAATTGGTACTTAGCTTGACTAATTGCTTGATGTTCATCTGGTCAACTTTCAGATAATTGTAATTTGGTCCCTGAACTTTCATTTTACTCCAATTTGGTCCTTTTTCGGCTCTTTTCTCCTGAATTTCACTATTTCCATAAAATCACCTACATTGCATGAATTTGACAAAATTAAGTAACAATTCAATCCTTTTACTTGTATTTAAGTCATGTTTATGATATAAATAAGTGTGCAAAAACACACTTATCACTTAGGCCCTGCCTCTATCCAAGAACAACATTTTCTGGATCAAGAAGCGCCTGGGCGATGATTTGCTATTCAAAATTTTGTTCCTGTCATCCACACATTGCAAAATATGGTACCTAGGCGCCATTTGCTGGTTCTTTTCCCTGACTTTGGCATCTTTGTTCACTTTAGCATCTTTTTTACACCACTTTACCTAACTTTTAAAACAATGCTAGCAAATACGTAAAAAAAGGTTCTATATTCATAAGATTTAGCAAATAATGAAATTAAAATTGTGTAAAACTTGTGAGTAAAAACACACTAATCAACTCATATACAATGTTTAGGGAAATAAATGGGCCAAACAATGTACAAACGGAACATCGCCAAGTGAATAGATTGAGCTTCTAATTTTGGGTCCCATCTCATACTATTACTCCCTTATTTCAATTCTCGGTCGAAGTTTATGAAATTAAACTTTAACGATACAAACATCATGGGCCTAGACTTATTGGGTATCAATAAAAAGTCAAACAAATTTTCACCTTGATACCTAATAAACCTACAAGCAAACAACACCAAGTTAACACTTGCCTAATCAAGGTATCCAAATAAAAATGAAAATCACAGACCTTACCAGTGTCTTGAATCTGAAACACATACATACCTACTACATGTGCTCACTAAGGGCAAATAAATGATCTACATATGCTACCAATGCATAAATTATCGCAAGAAAAGATCCCACCATAATTTTCCTATACCACTATCCACGTAGCTCGTATCTAGATAACAGACCTATCCTCTCCTTGCATATGATGCAAACTATATCGGTCACTCCTTATGCTTAACTAGTAAACCACTAAAGATCACAAGTCAGTGGGATGTTCCTCTATCACCTTTTCACCTTAAACTAGGTAAATAATGGGTCTTCACCGAACAGTGGTGATGAAGTGTCACCCTCTCACTTCACCCGTTCCGGATTCTAATAGATAGATTATTTCAAAATATTTAATCACCTCATCTTACCTCTTGTGGTCAAAATAACAACCCTACACATCCATCGTACATGTCACTAATATACCCCTTAGGTATCTATTCTTTATATTACAAGTTGACCTACTTACTACTAATACACCTACTAAAGTGGTTATCACACCCAGTATCAAACCTCACAATAGCAATGCTAACCACTATGCATGTAGCATGTTACACATAGTAACACGATCACTCTTAAATTCATACAAATGTACACACTAAACATAATGAGATGTAACATAAATAATACATCAAAATCAAGCAATCATTCGTGCGAATAGGATTTCACATGCAAATGTAAATACAATAATAGGCACAAGAAAATTTATTATTAAATTAACCTCACTCGAGTTATAACTAGACATAGTAGCAACGTTCGCCTCACCTCTCACATTTTCTTTCTGTTTATTCTTCTTTTTAGGACAGCCTCTTATAAGATGTCCAGACCGCAGCGATAACATTTACCGTTTGCTCTCGACTTAAATCTCCAACTTTTACCCTTCTTTTTATCACTCTCATTACTCGAGTCACCATTCGAGTGACCACTGTCTTGATTTTCTAGATTTCTACCATGCCAAGCTTGAGGTCCACTTCTCGTCATGTGAACCTTACAATTTCTTCTCCCTTGTTTTTATGCTTTCAACTCCATATCCTTACTTCTTAAGGGGTCTATAACAATATCAGGTGTTAAAGTTTCACTCTCATACATAATAACATTTTTCACATCTTTATAAGTATTAGGAATAGTATTCAACAAATAAAAGCTTTATCTTATTCAGACACTTTCTCACAATTATTAGCAAGTCTTGAACCAATTTGTTAAAAGCATCCAGACAGTCATCCAGATATTTAGAAGAGTCAATTTTGAAATTGAAAAAACTTTCAAGTAGAAATAGCAAATTTGGAGTGGATTTTAACAAATAAAGATCCTTTAATTTTTTTCCAAAACTTTAAAGGAGAATCGTGTTTACCAACTTTTCTTAAAGTGAAAAATAAAATAAAATAGAATTATAAGTCAATTCACCTTTTCTTTTTTCTCATCTTCAGTTAAAGTTGCAGAATAAATTCCATCGATTACTTTAGAAATTTTTTGTTGACTAAAAATATATTTTATTTTTTGTTATCAAATCAAAAAATCACATTTACCATTAAAAATAGCCATCTCAAAACTATCACATTTACCATTAAAAATAGCCATCTCAAAACTTGTTATCATTTTTATTCAAAGTAAAGTAGAGGAATGAGTCACGCACAATACATCCATAGGGCCATAATGTATATTGTTCTAGATGCTTAGGGTTTTCTACAATTCACGATCTCTGATTAAGAGAATGGTTAAACGGGTAAAGTCTAGGTGATAATTTTAACAAGATAATCAATGCAACAAAAGATAGAAATCACAAAACAATAAAAAAACCAAAAACTGAAGATATCAAAATTAATCGGCAAATAATTCTTATGTTCTAGCAACAAGCATTGGTTATCCCACATGTTAATCCCAAAACCTAATAGCCACCACATGAGATAGCTTATTACTTCGAAAAGTAAATGGTTACACCATATGATAGCCTTAATTGTAATAATAATAGAGAAAGAACACGATACCGAACTGACTAATCTTTTGGTCCGTAAGTTTAATGAAAGATGAGAAATTTACAACTTTAAGGCCACCACTATTTGCACTAAAGTTGCAGCAATGCAGAATCGACAACCAAACGACCAAGGGTTAAATTGTCCAAAATCAGTCTATTGTTCAGAACAGAAAATGAACACCATCGATATGTCCACAGAATAGCCTGGAATATTCTATCTCCAAAGACTGTCCTAGAATTCCGCCTTACAGGCAACCTAGTGTTCTGCGTGTAACCTCATTCACCGCCGTATCGGAGGTCGCACAAGTCGATCCTTCGACTTCACCTTGATGCAAGATGTCATGGATTCGTCAAAAATTTAGAATGCAGTCGTAGATTGGGTAGTTTCCAAATATTTTCCATCGACACACGGACGTTAGCATCTGGACAGATATAAAAATGGATTTCATTTGAAAAGTAAAAGGTATATTTTATGGCTAAAATTTAGGACCAACTTATCATCTATTAAAGTCAATATAGTAATGGAATTGGTACTCCCAATGCCATCACTAGTACAAAAAAAAGCTATATATTTAAGTGTGTCAGGCATTACTATTCATTTATATTTATAAACAATAAATAGGTATTGTGTATATGTGTGTGTGTGTGTGTGTGTGTGTGTGTATATATATATATATAATTTTTTTTTTAATAATTTTTTATTTTTTACTGCGTTATTAGTTTGACACTAGTTAGGTTTTGATTTGATTTCAGTGGACAAACATAAATGGAATAAAATTGTCATATACATGCCTTTTTTACATGCCTTTTTTCCCTGATGTACATACATTCCATTTATTCTTGTAAATGGAATGGAACAGGAAGAGCTCCCGTCATTCAAATCAAATCACTTCCTAAAACTGTATTAAATAATTCCCAATTGACATATGCAAACTGTCGATGAGTTTAACAAAACCGTGAATTTCTGCAAAAATCGCCATCCAACCCACAAATCCATCAAGTTTCTGGGTTACACCCCAGATCCTTATTACCTTATCATTTTTATTAACTGGTTTGCACTTAGGATCTATCTACCATATCCATATTCTTGAGTTAGAACTAACCCACCCTAAAATCGTACTTCCATAAATGGCAGCCGTAGTCTTTCCCCTGAAACGTCAATTTCATCGACATGCAGTACAAATATTACAGCTACAATGTCACAATCTAGCAGTACTTCGCAGTCACAGGCGGCAACGGGTGGTGGTCCACCAACCGAAGCTGCCAATTTTGGCGGCCACCCGGTTTATCGTGGGGTGAGGCGCAGAAAAAGTAGTGGAAAGTGGGTATCTGAAATCCGGGAGCCGAGGACACCAAATAGAATATGGCTTGGGTCTTATCCTACTCCAGAAATGGCGGCGTTGGCCTATGATGTGGCGGCGCTTGCTCTCAAAGGTAAAGAAGCTGAGCTTAACTTTCCAAACTCGGCTTCCACTTTGCCTGTCCCGGCCTCCACCTCGCCGCAGGACATTGCGGCAGCTGCTGCTAGTGCAGCCTCGGCAGCTGCTGCGGCGGCCGACGCTATTGCGAGTGTGGAAAATCCAGCGCTGCAACCTGAAAATTTGGACGTAAATGAGTTCATCGACGAGGATTTGATCTTTGATATTAGCCCTCCGCGCTATGATCTTACTGCTAGTGCAGCCACCGCAACTGCTGCGACGGCCGAGGCTACTGGGAGTGTGGAAAATCCAGCGCTGCCACCTGAAAATTTGGACATAAATGAGTTCATCGACGAGGATTTGATCTTTGATATGCCTAATGTTCTTAAGAACATGGCTGAAGGAATGCTTATTAGCCCCCCGCGCCATGACCTTGCTGGTGAAGACACACCTGCTGATGAAAATATACAAGATGACAATTTGTGGAATTATCCCTAATTCATCGATCATCAGCATCTCTATCTGAAGTGGCATTTTCTTCAAAAGTGATTACCAACAAGAATAAACAAAATGTGCATAAAATAGGATTTTGGAGTGTTTTGCATGCTTGTTCACGAATTTCTTGCAAAGAATTTGGCTTGTGTTGGAAATTAGAAACTCTTAACTCTATAATGTTGAGAGTAATAAAATGGCCAAAAGAAAATATGTACATAAAAATAATTAATGAAAGTTCACCTTAATGTGAGATTATGTCATTTTTCACCTTATAGTAATTTATTACGTTGATATTTTAAACCTTAATAATGGACTCTGCGTAGCAACAATAATTAAGCTCCACCACTTGACAGTTTCTTCATGCAATGCCTAACAAAGCAAAGGCACAAATCATGGTATGCTTTCATGTTCGTTGTGGATACAATTTCAAGTGGATAAAAAAGAAAGAAAAAAGAAAAAAAGACTACATTATTGTGAGAGCATGCAAATTGAATCTGTTCTCTCCAATTGCTACAATTAATTAGGCCACTGTTTGGTGAAAATTAAAATCTAGATTTTAATCTAAGTTAAAGTTAGCAGTTAATTTTAACCACACATTTCATGAGACCCATAACTTTCAACTATACATTTCATCAACTTTTATCAAAATCTACTAAAATTCAAATTTTAATTCCCACCAAACAAGGGCTAAATATGTCTTAACAACAGTACTTGCTATACAAGCTCTAGGCTCATGATTTGAAGCCCACATTTTAGTCATCCAAATAACCGAATGGAAAAGCATTTTTATCTCACGAACACAATATATTCATGGATGAGCAATTTGGTTCGAAAATGTTTAGAAGAGACAACTCTCATAATAATATGAGGTTGCAAATTACTGACCACTTTCGTTTTGCAAATTGCCCAGTGATCGAGAAAGAATTTATACAGTTGATTTTTAAAGATTCTCAACAGTCAATAATGCTGACACTGCTTACACCAAGTTTCCATAATTAAAATTATTCCCTTAATAATAAGTTTAACATTTTGAGTGCTTAGAATTGAATTAAGGTAAAAGAGCATGTTTGGCCAATTATTGGTGCATTCGGCAAGTGGCAATAATGTTGGTAAAGTCAAGATTGTTGATAATTAAAGATCAAGAAACTTCTTAAGCACCACAAAAGCCTAATTATAATCTCCATTGACTGCACTTATCTTTCATGCCTATCCTGTTCATGCACCCAGATGATGACATATGAGCTTTTCCCATATTTATTTGGTGCTCCTTACCATTTTCAGCAAACAAAGTGACAAGCAATAATCATCTTTTTCAAGTTGGCCTTTCTGGACTGTGACCGAACTTCAAAAGCCCACCCAAAATGTAAATTGGACTTCCAGTTTGTAGCAAAAATTTAGTCCTGGGAAATTTTGGTAATTGTATCATTACTGAAAATTATTTCATCATTTACTATGTTACGTTTACAAAACCAAAAATACTTGATTAAATGTAAAATAATCTCGAATCTACCTATTTCTTAAAATATAATATTTCCAAATATAATAATCTCGAAGATTGAGTACATTGCTGATGTAGATATGTCCCCTATCCGAATAAAAAATTACGGCTCTCTACATTTCTATTTGGAGCTTAAGCGTAGAGATGCATGCATGACGGTCTATGCATTACATGTAAGAGTGGTAGAGATCTTGCCAAATATACCAACGGAGTATAGATTGAACCCTACAAAGGAGATTGATGTGCATATAAATTGGTGCAATGATTCACACATTCTATGTTCTGATATTTCAAAACAAATTCCAAATTTGAATGATTATATTTCCATCATTGACATATCACAAATTGAGGCATGTATATGTGTTGTTTGGTGTTGTATCCGAATGTACTTCATCCGTATTGAAAATATTATGCATTTGACTGAAATACTCTATTCACCCCTCGTTCATATATGAAAACATGTGCATCATAAAGCATTGATCCAAAGCAAAACAATAAATCCATACAATTCAATAATAAAATCCCATGAGAAAAACGTAATACAGTGATCAAAATTTCATGAAAATTATTTATTTATTGGACTTTTATTGCACATGACTGAAAATAATTACTTCTTAAACTAATTACTACAACATAATATATGAGACTCATTATAACAGCTTAACACTCTACTTCGTTGTGTGTTCGTATACAACTTAGGAATTTCATTATTCTAAGTGAAAATCATAAGCAATAATATTTGTGCAATAAATGACCATATCCTAGGCATCAATCATAAATATAATGGGGTATTCAATTACACAAGAAATCAAGAAGTCAGGTTTCGACAATCACACCCCTCTATCTATTCACTTGAATGAAATCATGTATAAATTGATAATCATAAATATTTGCTATCGTAACTGGTATAAGGGTCCAAAATATTTGTTAAGACACCAAAAAAATACCTGTGTTTGTGTGGGGCTCCAAACTTTTTCTTTGTGTTGCTTGGATTTGCAAGTGCATCTTCAATGAGCCTCTTATCACTGTCCTTCATTTGGATAATCTTTCCCAAATTTTAGGAGTTGCCGAATAAAAAATTACGGCTCTCTACATTTCTATTTGGAGCTTAAGCGTAGAGATGCATGCATGACGGTCTATGCATTACATGTAAGAGTGGTAGAGATCTTGCCAAATATACCAACGGAGTATAGATTGAACCCTACAAAGGAGATTGATGTGCATATAAATTGGTGCAATGATTCACACATTCTATGTTCTGATATTTCAAAACAAATTCCAAATTTGAATGATTATATTTCCATCATTGACATATCACAAATTGAGGCATGTATATGTGTTGTTTGGTGTTGTATCCGAATGTACTTCATCCGTATTGAAAATATTATGCATTTGACTGAAATACTCTATTCACCCCTCGTTCATATATGAAAACATGTGCATCATAAAGCATTGATCCAAAGCAAAACAATAAATCCATACAATTCAATAATAAAATCCCATGAGAAAAACGTAATACAGTGATCAAAATTTCATGAAAATTATTTATTTATTGGACTTTTATTGCACATGACTGAAAATAATTACTTCTTAAACTAATTACTACAACATAATATATGAGACTCATTATAACAGCTTAACACTCTACTTCGTTGTGTGTTCGTATACAACTTAGGAATTTCATTATTCTAAGTGAAAATCATAAGCAATAATATTTGTGCAATAAATGACCATATCCTAGGCATCAATCATAAATATAATGGGGTATTCAATTACACAAGAAATCAAGAAGTCAGGTTTCGACAATCACACCCCTCTATCTATTCACTTGAATGAAATCATGTATAAATTGATAATCATAAATATTTGCTATCGTAACTGGTATAAGGGTCCAAAATATTTGTTAAGACACCAAAAAAATACCTGTGTTTGTGTGGGGCTCCAAACTTTTTCTTTGTGTTGCTTGGATTTGCAAGTGCATCTTCAATGAGCCTCTTATCACTGTCCTTCATTTGGATAATCTTTCCCAAATTTTAGGAGTTGGTGTTCACGACCCTTGTAGCAGATGGACCACTGGCGAAATCTTTCGACTGTGAGGATATGTAAATAGAATGGGTAATGCGACGAGTAGGGGTATTAATCGTTTCGTTCTTGGGTTCGATAATCTCACAGGACTTGGAGTATTCGCCTGCTTGCTGGGTCTTGATGTTAACCATGGACAAACGTCATTGCTGGTCGGCTGCGACTGGAGTCTCTTTGACATTTCTCACAAGCCATACATATCCCAATGAAGATGTGTTTGTATCAGCAGCCATGGTATACATTTTAACAAGGAGATTTTGATATTTTCTACGTAGATTGGGGTTTTATAGTAACAACTGAAAGTACAAATCAAATGGTTGATTTGGGTGATATTCTGGTGATTACATTTTGCGGATAATGTGTGGAAGATCAAAATGATGATTATGGATTGAGATTTTCTTGTAAATGAATGAAGGGAGATATGATTTTGGGGAAGGGTTTTGGCTTGGAATATGATTAGAATCGTTTTTTGGGGATTTGGTGATAATTTTACCGGGTTAGAGGTGTGTTTGTTGCTACCATATATTAAGGGCGTGTTTGATGGGGTCATTATTTAAGGGCTAGTTTGTTGGATCAAAATCAGCATCATAAATGGTAGCTGACTTAATTGGTTAACTTTTAACATTTGAATTTTACTTTAAAAAAAATAGTATTTGTGGTAAAAAAATGTTGAAAAGTATAATCTAAATATTTAATTAAAGAAAGGTACGTGGCCTAATTTTCACCTGCTTAATTCAACTAAAAAATAATTAATTAAAAATTTAAGTCAAGGTGAATAATGAATTTCAATCAAAAATCTTATAGAATTCACAACTTTTCAACCATACATTCTATCAACTTTTATTAAGAGCCTGTTTAAGCCTCATTTTTATTGAAAAATGTATTTTGGAATAATAGATTGATGGAGAATATGTGGTTAAAAAATAAGAAATTTTTTTGAGTTTGAGTTTGAGTGTGATATTATTTTTATTAAAATATGTATAATTAAAAAGAAGGGAGAAAAATATATTTTGAAAATAACTTACATCAAACAAGGGCTAAAATATATTAAAATTTTGATTTTTATCTAAACGAAAAGGGGACTTAATATGTAAATTATTAGTGCTTATTGATTTTACAATATTGCAATAAACTACTGAAAACTTTTTGAGTATTGAAAACTTCAAGTTATCGACTATTCAAGAGTTTGTAATTTGGAACCTCTAATATGTCTCTATCTGTGTGTTTTGTGTAGAAATACACTAATTTACAGTGTGTTAGATAGGTAGGTAGGTAGGTAGGTAATGGGGATTAAAGAAATGTTTGCCCTGCAGATATCTCCATGTAAATATTTCCATTTTAATGTGTATATATATTTCTAGAAGTTGCAATTTCAATTTAGACAGTGTTTAGCATTTTTTATATGACATGTAATAGATTTATTTATAGAGAGAGCAAATTCGTCATTTTATATGACCAAAATCGTGGAAGAAAGGACGAATTTTGCTATATTTTTAAAGGTTGAAAATGTCTAATTCCGAAAAAAGGTTGATAATAGATTAATAAAATTTGGCAAAGAATGGAGACTAAAATGCCAGTTACCTTAAAAAATAAATAAATAAATAAATATGTGATCACG